AAACTGGATTTGCCTGCCAGGATAATTCACCTGGAGAGCTGACTGCTTCCATTCACCTCCTTTCTTGGAAGCCGGCTGAGAATAACAAACTGTTCCGATAACATCAGCCTGCTTCCAGTCAACATATTTCCTACTGAGAGGCAGGGCAGGTCCCACCCTGTTACATGACAGGCACATATTTGGTCATATAAATGTTGCTCATAACTCTGACTCTTCGCCTTCGAGTTAGATATCAACAGCAGCCAGTTGTCACAAACCCCTTGTTTGAAATGGCGATGCCATGCCTTCTCTCCGGCAGTTCAGTGTTCACCTCTCTCTTCCTGGGGCTCTGGAAAGCCCAAGTCACAACAATGTGCTCCAACCAGCTGGCTACAGAACTTCAGGAGAGAGCTTCCCGTAGTCCATCCCACTGCTGTTCCTCTTGGTGCAAACCAAATATGCAGGGCATATCCAGGGCATTTCATGGTGCTCAGGATGCTCACAAAGAAGAGGACGGGCCTGACTGTAGACCACCTCAATGATTCCTAAGCATTTGTATTCATTAGAGCATATACTGTAGCCGTGTCCTCTCGTCTTCCAGCTCTATAAACACTAGGTCACAGAATTTTATTTATTGAATGTTTAACTATTTCATGCTAAATGGAAAAGCCATTGAAAGGAAGAAAGGCATAATCTATAAACCATATAGTTTCAGTATCAGTAACAAGCAAGCTGTGGCCACTTGGGTCTCAACTTCTAAGTGTTATACAACAACATAAGACAAATAGTTCTGGATCAGACCACAGGTCTGTCAGGTTTCTTATCCTGTTTCCAGCAATATCTAATAGCAGAAGTCTAGGGAAAAGGACAAGTGCAGAGAGATATTTCTTCAGAACATCCTCTTGATTTCCAGCAAGCGATAGCTCAGGTCTTCCCCAGTTAGAGGTAGTATCTTGTATTTAACAGTTCATTTCCATTATTTTTTGAGCCCATGCAAACTTTTAGCATCCATAAAATTCTGTAGCAAGGGTTTCCAGTGCAGGCAGTATATTTTGGAATCTGTCCCTTGCCTGTTTCATCTGAGGCGGTGCTGGCCCACACTTTAGGCACAACCCGCCCACAGTGACATTTATACTGTTATAGTTGCACTGGTGTCCAAACCTGAACCACTGAACTGAACGTGACCTGCATGTGGAGATGTGGGCATGAACCTACATGAATCACCTACTTTAAAGGTCGTAAGGGACTTGATCCAAGATCACATGGAGAGGCACTGGAAAAGCAGGAAAACATCCCAAAGGGACTCTGATGAAAGCACCTAAACCTTCCTTCAAACCTCCTTCTCTCTGGCTTAGTATCAGTCTTAGCGGTGTGATCTGGACTTGCCAGATCATCTACAACAGCTTGCTGGGTCCCAGAGCATCTGATCTTTCCTTTTGATCCAACAGAGAACTGGGCTTCTGCCCAGCTAAGAAGAGCAATCCAGCTAGGCAGTCCTCCAGCCAAACTCCCTCTGGGTGTGCTAGCTTGGACATTGATATTTCACTGACACTAAACTTCCCTCTTCAGCATGAATTGCTCATTACTTGAATTCCATCAGGGATTTCTTATGTCATGAAAGAGCAGAGATTCTGCCTGAACACACTGAGCAGGACTGACTGCTTTCTGTGGATAAAGTTGTTGATCTGTGTTTATGTGTGTGCCTGTATCTGCAGGACATAGATGTCTCAGTGTTTTCCACTCAATGGTGTCTCTGTTCTGCAACCATCTGTGTATAAAGCTGCTATTCTCTCGTGAACAATGACTCATACAGGAAAGTCTCTAAGAATTAGGCAAGAACTATGTTCATCCTGAGTAGTATTGAAGATGAGGATTCAATCCCATAGACTCTTGGAAACTCAGCATTAGTTTTCCCTTGACAGCTTTAATCTTTAAAATCTGCTGTTGCTGACACACATTTACAAACAACAGGTTGGCAGTAAACTGTCTCTGCAAACGGGCACTGCAAGTCCACCACTTGCTTCTGACAAAGACCCAGCACAGCACCGCTCACCGCGGCCAACCTTTTTCTCGCTCCGTTTTCCAACGGGGATCCACCTAGTGACTCTTCCACCTCCCACATCCTTCTCAGCCCCCACGGATGACTCTCTCTAGCCCTTTCCCTTATATTTCCAGGCTACTCTGCATCTCTGCCAACTGCAGTGGGTGAGTGGGAAAAAGTAGGGTCACTGTTGCCAGCACCCTGCAAGCTACACCCGGATCCTGAGCTGCCCAAAAGACTGTGAAGTTGGCCGTAGGGACTATCTGGGGCAGTGATCCATATTGGTATCAAAAAATCATGACGATCTTCACTTCATGTATCTAACAAGGTTTGGGTACTTAGGAAACAGCTGAAAGAAAGGAAATATCCAGAAGATTTTATCAGAAAGTCTCCTGTGGCCAGAATGAGTGCAGAAAGAAGAGTTTCTGAAAATCAAGTGAGCTTCTCTGGCTAGTGGGGAAGGTTCTGCTTTGTGGCACCTTGTCCAGCACTGTGGAAAGAGAAGGTTACAGGGTTCTCATGCTCCCCACTGCCCCAGAGAGGCAGCAGTCTCTGGGGATGCAGAGTCCGATGATCAAGAAAGTTTAAAACAAATGGTGACATATCCTAATAATGTAAGACAACTCCAGCTATGTAGACCATACCCAGAAAACACGCACACAATAAACACAATTTTTCAATTGGATTAGAATTTTAATGAGAAATTTTATTCTCAGATTTTAAAATTTCTCTAGGATGTTAGGTGATAAGCAAGGGTCAGGGGTGCTAATACATGAAAGGAAACACGCTCCTGTGAGTGTGAGTGAAGCCGGGTGGCTGGAGTTGGACAGAATGTTAAAATCAACAGATAAAATCAGAGTCACAGAGCGGTTGAGGTTGGAAGGGAACCCTGGAGGTGATCTGGTCCAAAACCCCTGCATAAGCAGGGCCACCTAGAGCAGGTTGCCCAGGACCATGTCCAGACAGCTTTTAAATATCTCCAAGGACAGAGATTACAAATGTGTGCTGTAAATATATCATGGGAAAAACAGGTTGGCACTTTATCCCTGGAATCATCACTTTGAGGACTCACAGGCTGAAGGAGGTGATTTGATGGCTCACTTGCGTGGTGCCTGAGACAGAGGCCTCGTTCCCATGCTGTCCTTCCCCAACCACCACCCTTCCTGCTAGCTGCATGGTCCTGACCTTCCTGTGGCCGGTACCAGTTCTGTGTTCCTCAGCCTTTTCAGTGAATTGATCAGTCTTCAAACAGCAAAATGCAACTTTCTCCCTGCTGCATTCAACTGAATCAGTGAAAAATGTAGATTGGAAGGCATATCAAAGGTCTTTAGTCCAATCTCCTACTCAAAGCAGGGCTAACTTCAAGGCTAGATGAAGTTGCTCAGGGCCTTGTCCACATGCATCCTGAAAATCCCCGAGGATGGAGATTCCACAGCCTCTCTAGGCAGCCTGTCCCAGGGTTGCACCACTCTCATGGTAAATAATGTGTTCCTTTTGTTGAAAAAGAATTTCCCTGGCTTGCAACATGAGGCCATTGCCTCTTGTCCTTTAACTGTGCAGGAAAAGCTTGGATGCATCTTAATTCACAAGCCCCTTTTCAGCAGGGTTAGTCTGCAATTAGATCCCCTGCTAGCCGCCTCTTCTCCAGGCCAAATGAACCTAATTCACTTCGCATCTCCTCATATGGCATGTGCTCCGGCTGACTGACACTAGGGGCTTTTGTGGGATCCTCTCCAACACCTCCCATATAATGGGGGGGTGTTCCCAAAACTGACCACAGTATTGCAGATGCAGCCTCACCAGTGCCAGGCAGAGGGGAATAACCACATCCCTCCACCTGCTGGCTGCTCACTGGCTACTTACTAATGCAATCCCTTGACGGGTTAGCGTTGTTACTGCAGGGGAGCACTGCTGACACAGGTCCAACTTCTTTTCCACCAGAATCCCAAGGCCTTTTCTGCAGGGCTGCACCCTAGCAGTAAATCCCCAGCCTGCACTGATGCATGGAGTTGTTTTGTCCCGGGTTGAAAATATAGGGAGGATTTATGATTTCATAGAATTAGAACAAACGCATGAGGTGAATTAGACCAAATTTATCACGTGATTGAGAAGGGTCAAACCCTGAGTCCTCTCGTGCTTAGCCTGTCTGCTCATACAAGTAAGGAGCAACGGGGGCACCTGGAAACTTCATACCTGAGAAATCTCAGTTTTCTGCAAAAAGTTTTTAGAACTGTACAAGGTCTTATATCGGTCACAGACATAAGCAAAGGGGCTGTAACTCTCAGCACAATTTACCCTTTTCCTAGCAAAAGGCCCTGCAGGCTTGAAAGAGAATCTTGTAGGCCACTGGAATGAATCCCACTTCCATCCGTTCCCCCCAGACCTCAAAGGCGGAGCAGGCACCGTGCCTAGAAGGGATGAGCTTTGTGTGTGCATGGTGTGTTTTTAAATCAGCATTTTAATCCTCCTTCTGACTTCATAGATAGGCAAACTAGTAAGAGTTATTCTTAGTATACATTGAGGTATGACACAGCTCCAGTTCTCTTAATAAGCTTATTTGTTACTGTTGGAAAATAAAGAGTCTGTCCTTTTTTTTTCCATAAGTCTATTTCACGCTACCTCTTGTTCAACTAAATGAAAAATAGTACATTTCTTGTTCTTAAAGAAATAAATAAAGTTTATTTTGAAAACCTAGCAGTTATCCTATTGCAATTTCCTTCAGCTTTCTGGGGTTTTTTTTTGGGGGGAGGATTTTTTTTTGTCCCCTCAGTCCCTCTCCTATTTTCCAGAAACCGTCTGCTTCTCTTCAGAATGCTGATAAGCACCTGCATATCTTATAAATTTAGCGGCAAGTACTAAGCAGAGAGATACAGAAATACCAAAATCTCTGAGCTGGGAATAGTCTAGAGTTGCCCACTGGAGCTGCTCAGCACAGACTGTGTTCAAGTTCTTGCCAGCCTTTGGAGGTTCAATGCCTCTCTCATGTCTTCTCAGTCTCTCTCTGTGTGGAGATACTTAGCTGAACAGTGAACAACTTTTGAGGAGCAGATGACATGGATGTTTGCTGTCATTTTCACATTTATAGCTAAATTAAAGGCATGGCCTGGTTTTTTTTTCATCAGCGTAAGAGCAATTCAAGCCTTTGGCCTGAGTATCGTTCAAACCATCAGCTTGGACACTGCTCTCTGCCCCTGTGCAGAGGAGGCAAATAGCGTAAGTTTGGACTGAGTCTTTAACCTTCCCCCTGTCTCTTCTGCCTCTTTCCCAGAGCTGTCTTGAGTGAGCATGTTCTGTGGTCACAAAAGGAAGCCAGTGATGCTAATCAATGGCCTAATCACCTAACAGGCTGGTTTACTGAAATACTCCTACGGAGAGACAGGTGATCGCACAAAATGAACTTCCCTACTGCTGGCCAGCATGTCAAGAAAAAGCCAGTGCTGGCTCATGGGTAATGCACATGCGTCTGGCCGTTCCATTACCTCTCCCTTCCTCGTACACTGGGACAAGCAAAGGACTCCGAGGGCTCTATAGATCTCATGGCAACTACAAAGCACATCTAGAAGCTTCTGGGAGTGCAAAGAAATTTTCAGACAAAGGCTTTTCTTTCAGCTTTATAAATACGCTTGCAGCCATCATCATAGTAAAGAAAAAATAGCCTTAAAAACCACTCCTGCAGAACAAAACTCCCAGGCAGGAGCTGTTTCTCATTCTTTTAATTTTTCTTCCTTTATGTACAAATAAGAGTACCGAGAACAGGTTTGTACTTAACAAGAGGATAAATGTTGCTAATCTACTGATTTGTCTGCTGGCATTGTGCTTATCACAGCACTGTTTGTTGGCTGGGGCAGACGTGGTCCCAATGTGCACAGCTGCGCAGTGAAAACCGTGTCATGTCATGGGAGAGCGGGCAGGACCTGCCAGTCTGGGGGGGCTGACACGACGACAGTTCAAGCCACAGACTGCTGTGTTTGTGACCGGGCCGTCCATATCCATCTCTCACAACAGAAAATGCCATGCTGGAGAACATGGAAGCTAGAGCCGATGATGGCAGGTAGCCATGGAGCAGGGGAGAAGAAACAATAAGATGATTTTTGTCAGCTTGACAGGCAGCGATGGCAGATCACCACCTGATGGGACGTGAGCAGACAAAACATCAGAGAGCTGTGACTGGCACAAAAGACTCTGAACGCGAACGGGAGGATGCCCAGTCAGGAGGCACGTGGGTTACATACAGCCAGCAGTGATGGCAGGGTATAAAACACAGGAGAGGGGTGACAGACACCCAAACGAACACAACGTACAAGAACAACTGACGCAGATGAATGCACAAGAAAGGACTGCCATGGAAGGAAGGAGCATCGAGGGAGCGCGAACAGCAGGCCACTGAGTACTGTACATAAGCGGGAGGCGGCGGGAACCCTGACAGGGGTGACCGGCTGGCGTGTGGTGATGGCACTTGTGCCTGAGGACGAAAACGAGACCGAGGGCAACGGCCAGAGCCACTGGCTGGCACCTGGACACGACCGCCTGGCTGAACACGACCACCCAGCAAAGTCTGGCTCCTACAGACAGCGAATATCCAGACATTTTAAAATGAAAAATCTGAAGCTGTGAATGTGCTCCAGAACGTTTTTGCTTTTCAGAAACGGTCCTTTTTCACTTGGACAACGACGAGCAGCTCCGCGAAGACCTGTGCTGGGCAAGGAGCCAGAGCATCCCCTCCCTTTGCATACGAAGACTCTGCTCCCCCGGGAGGGCTCCGGAACCCAGGGCCTCGGAGCGGTACTTGACGGCAAGAGCGCAAACCCCGCCGCCTCAGAGGGCAGAAGCCTGGAGCCGGCAGAGAGCGCGCCAGGGCAGGGCCCCCCCGGCGGGCTCCCGGGACAGGCTGAGGGCTCGGCCCTGGCCCCGCTCCCGGCCCCGCTCCGGGAGGAGGCTGCTGGCCCGGCTCGGGCGGCCCC